AGTTGGGGTCTGATCGAAAGCCCACCAAAGTCCTTCCTTTGACACGCATGGAATTAGCATCAGGCCCATGTAAGGGTTCACCAAGAATCAGCAAGGCCTCCATCCGCCAACAAATACATCAGGTTTGAGGCTATGCGGTGGGACCCGGCTGTGTGGAGTTTGTATTTCCAAGCCCATGCTACCTCCACATTGCATCATAAACCTGGGATCTGGGCCTCTGAGCCATGCTAATGCATCCATACTGCAGCATGGAGAACTTGTGACTTGGGTCTGCCACGACTTGTGTCCTCACTGCAGAATGACAGGGCCTGGACCTGCGCCTCAGAAAGGTGGTTACACAGGTAGACAAGACCCATACTGGCCTAGTGCAACACTCAGGCTCAGTGAGGTAAGAGCTCTGGAGATGAAAAATTGCTAAGTAAATGTCCAGATCTGGGCTGGTGTCGGAGGCTTAGGACCCTGTGATGGTGGAGGGTCCCAAGCCTGGGTTAAGCCCGAAAGCCTAGATAGCAACTCTTAGCCCTGCAGACCAAGCCCCGATAGTCTGTGTCAGTTGACTTGGGCCAGCTTCAGCTGTGCCATGTGGGTCTTTTATCCCTGTGTAGATGCACACACAGGGACTCAGGCTCCGATGCTCCTACCCCTCAGCGGGATCACAGAACCTGGGTCAGATTGATTTGTGTGTGAACAGAGGGCGGGGGGTGTGCGTGTGTGCATAGACTCAAACCTGACTCAGAGTCCCTGAGGGCTCAGAGTCCAGTGTAGACACACCCAAAGGGCCCAATCCCGGTTCCATTTCATATCCGACTGAAGTTAATAGAAGGGCTGTGTGCATCAGAACAGCACCAGTAAAGAAAACTCCTCCCTAAAATAATCCAGTTGTAAAAGCAAAGCAGACCCTAGTGCAGGAAGTCAGTCATTTAAAACTACTATTGAGAGGCAAAGGTATCTGGAATTTCATCCATTTCCTTCCAGAAAAGGCTACTGTACATACAAATGCTACTTCAACTCTCCAGCTACTGAAAGATGACTCCGTCTGCAGGGAGACTCAGCAACTGCAACTTTTCAAATTACTTGTTGGGACTTGCAGATTCCTCAGGAGGTCTGGATGAAAGCCAATGTACTGAGAGGCAGAGGGGCAAGCTGGCAAAAACCTGATTTTATGGGAACCAAATTCCAGGCACAATCTCTGTGAAGGTTCAAGTGCCATGTAGTCAAACTTTTCTGTCCTTCTAGATACTATATATTGAACAGAGTGGCCAATGAGTGTTTTTCATCCACTGGGTAGTTTTCTATTTTCAAGATTAACGGTGTCTCCTGGCCAGACTGTTAATAAACATTAAACGTTAAGAAAATGTTAAGACTCAGTTTATGACCCTTGCTTCTAATTAACTAAATAAGCAGGGGGTATGACCCAAAGCCTAGAATAGTTGATGAAATGGCTTCCACTTGCTTCCTTGGGTTTTGATCAAGCCCACCAACTAGCAAGCATTGGAGATTTTCATTCCTCTCCATGTTGTTCTTTAATATGCTGAGAAGGTCAGGATATGAACCTCCCATCAAATGCAAGACACAGCTGACTTGCCTTTTTTGTGCGCATGTGTGGTTAGCACATTAATCTAGTGTGAGTCATGTCTGTAACGACACAAGATCATTGCCTTTAGACCTGCCCTGGCTTGTGGCTGCTTAGTAGTCAGGCCACATTGAGGGTCCTAACGTGTCTGTTACTAGAGTTGTGCTTCAAGGAAATAGAGGCCAGACCACTCTCTCACACAGGAAGGGCTGAGCAGGAGGAAATTTCTGGGAGGTTCTCCTTGGTGGGGATTCCTACCACAGCGTACTGACAGGTCAGAGTTTACTCCCCTGCTGGGACTGGC